CATTGTCTTCCCTAGAACCTCTTCCTATCATGTATATTGTCTTTGATGCGTTGATGGTAAGTCCAATCCTCCTAGCTTCAGCCTTCAGTCTGATGTACGTTTCCGCCATAGTCTCAAAGTTCCGTGCCATGATGTCGATGTCATCGGCGAAGCCAAGAAGCTCTTCTGATCACACCTTCTAACGCGATGTTGAACAGCAGACACGAAAGTCCATCACCCTGCCGTAACCCCCTTCGAGATTCAAAGGGACTCGAGAGTGTCCCCGATACTCGAACAACGCACGTCACTCGATCCATCGTCGCCTTGACCAATCGCGTCAGTTTATCCGGAAATCCGTACTCGTGCATAATCTGCCATAGCTGATCTCGATCGATTGTGTCGTATGCGGATTTAAAATCGATGAACAAATGATGTGTGGGCACGTTGTATTCGCGGCATTTCTGCAGAACCTGGCGAATCGCGAAAATTTGGTCCGTGGTAGCGCGGGCACCCATGAATCCCGCCTGGTATTGTCCCACGAACTCTCTTGCAAATGGTGACAGGCGACGGCATAGAATTTGGGAGAGTACCTTGTAGGCGGCGCTCAGCTAGTTGCAGCAATCCATCTTATCACTATTTTGTAGATTGGACATACGACACCTGCTTTCCACTCCTCCAGTAAAATCTCCTCCTCCCAAATCTTGGCCATTTCCCAGTGCAGCGCTCTAGCCAGTGCTTCACCACCGTATTTTAATAGCTCACTTGGCAGTTGATCTACACCAGTTGCTTTGCTATTCTTCAGCCGACCGATCCCCTCCTCAACTTTTTGAAGACCGGGGGCCGGTAGCCTGTCGTCTTCTGCGTGTGCTCCAAGCTCTGTTGCCGTGCCACCTTCGTTTTCTGCTGCATCACCGTTGAGGTGCTCGTCATAGTACTGCTTCCACCTCTCAATCACCTCACACTCGTTCGTGAGAAGCTTACCGTCCAAGTCCTTGCACATATCGGCTTGCGGCACGTAGCCTTTGCGCGAACTATTCAGCTTCGCGTAGAACTTTCGTGTGTCGTTTACGCGGTACAGATTTTCCATTGCCTCGCGATCTCGGTCTTCTTGCTGACGCTTCTTCCTTCGGAAAACCGAGTTTTCTCTGTTCCGCGCATGTCTGTATCGCTCCACATTCAATCTCGCCCGTGCTGCATTCTTCTCCTCTACTAACTAGACAACTAGCGCGGAGGGTGCTAATTGCCTCGTTGCAGCAGTAAGCTGGAGGCCGTCTGTTATTTAGCTCCAGTTTCCTCGGAATGGTCGTGTCACATGCTCTCCCTAACGATTCTGTCAGCTCGTCTTCCACTTAAGATTGCAAGTTCTCGTCCTCTATACTGCCACCGGATTCCGTTTGCTGATACCATATTGGATTGCCAGATGGTCACTATGAGCGTATCCTTCACACACTCTCCAATTCATGTTTTCCACCAACGACGGACTGCAGTGCGCATAAAGTGACGTCGATAATGGATTCCCGGACATTTCTGTGAGAAGTGCTGGTGGTGCCTTTATTGAACAGCCTAATTTCCAGCTTCGCCAGAGCTTCCAGCAGAATGTGCCCAACGACATATTGGTACTTCTGTTTCCCCACTCAAACTGCCCCATCGTCCATCCGGTGCGTAGCAACTGCATATGAATATTCCGTTAATTTTGGCGATTACGAAACCTTCTTGAATGGGGTATCTGCCCATAACTTGTATTGGAGCCAGCCCAGCAGTGTCACAATAATTAAGATTTATTTGAGCTACCTCTGTTATTGTTGCAACAAAACAATTAAGTGCCATGTGGAGCGAAATGCTTGGGAATTCATGCTTAACAACCAAAAAGTTCAGCAAAATCTTCCGGCTGACAAAATCGTTAGCAGACAAAATCGGGAATGCACTGTATTTATATAACATGATTTCTACATGATTTTACCAGGAAGAGATTTTGTTCAGTGCCTCTATTATCAGGCTTATTGCCAAAATTGAGCGGGTATTGTATCACAGACAAACAGCCATAATGCATTGAATATTTTTCACTGTAAAACATCGTCGGTAAACCATTAGCGCCATGTGTTGGCCGGTTGAGTACACTGTGGTGAGCAGTACGCTGAACAGATGGCGGTATTGTGTAAACGTCAAACGCAAGGAAATTGACTATGCGTGCCACAGGTTGCGGTATGGCCAACTACGATACTTTTAAATTTACCGTTAAATGCTTGTTCGATGAACAACGTGAGAGTGTTATGTCTGTTTGTCTGTGATTGTATTATAATCGATGGGAATCAGAGTAACATGCTTCTCTACCTGAATAATTCTGTCTTGAGCTGCAAATAGAGTGAATGATTATAATATGGCAATGTTGCTATCCAATCAAAAAGGAAATGAGATAAGATATTGCTGATTGCATCTGAAACTGGACTGCCCCAAAAATGCAAAAAGTGTGATAAAAGAGCACCTTTGCGTCAAATCGTTTTGGTGTCCTCGGAGTACTTATTGCTTGCATCATAAGAAATAAGTGCACCGAAGACACCAAGACGATTAGACGGAAGCTCGCACTTTAATCACTGACAAACCGACATGAATGATCATACAAAATACAAAGAAATTTCTGATTAAAGCACAAAACTGACATCTGCCGCCGTGTTCGCAGAAAATATTTATCCTAGCCACGAACACGCGTAGAAAATGTATGAATTGGTTCGAGTCTAATCTATTTCGGACAAATTATTTTTATCTAGATAAAACATTTCTATGGTTTTGACGGATGGGATCGCTGCACATTTGAATCGGCCGTTATGGATTCTCGATCAAGAGTTAAGTTTGAGTTTCATGTCGGTTTGTCGGTGCTTTAATCACACTTTTTAATAAGTGAAAACGCGTTTATTAGTCCAGTTTGGTGTGAAATGCGCAATAGTATGCCATGAACGACCTAATTAGCAAACATATTCAATTGATGAATCTACGTGGAACTGTACCAGTGCATGCGACACCTATTTGAAATCCAAAACCACAAAAGTGATGATGTACTAACAATATTTCATACGATTTGACAGGTAGCAAAACGTCATTATCATTTTAACATCATGTCCATCTGCTGGACGATCGTTAAACGTAAATTCATCAATTGATGAATTTAAGCGAAATTGCACCAGTGCATGCGACGCCTAGGTTTGAAATTCAAACCCACAAAAGTGATGATGTACTAAAAAATATCCCATACGATTTGACAGGAAGCAAAACGTCATTATCATTTTCACATCATTTCCATCTGCTGGTCGACCGTAATACCATAGAGGTAACTCTAAGACCACTGGGTCCCGAAGAAAATCATTATTATTTTTGGCTCACTCAGTACCAGAACAACGGTCCCAAGCAGTCCCAAGCTATTTCACTCACCCCTGCATGTTCTGCATGAATCCACACACCCCTGATGTTATCTGTCAAACTTTCATAGCGAATCAAAACAAACATAGTGTAGTAATGGAATTTCAACTAGAATAGGGTACGTTAATCGTTTGCTTGGGACCAATAGGCTACTAAAGTGGTGAGCCAATTTAAAATCGTTAGTTTCGTATTGATTGTTGGTAATACCACAGACAGACATACAAACTAGTACCGTTGTACTTTTAATCTAGTACCTCAAAACGTACAATTTGTGGTACTAGCTTAAAGCAGTACAACGATAGTACAACAGTGAACTTTGTATGTCTGTATAAGGTATAACCAACAATCAATACGAAACGAAGGATTTTAAATTGGCTCCCCACTTTAGTAGGCTATTGGTCCCAAGCAAACGATTAACGTATCCCATTCTAGTCGAAATTCTAGTACTACGCAATGTTTGTTTTGATTCGCTATGAAAGTTTGACAGATAAAATGAGGGGTTATTGGTTTTTCCTATGTTTCGAGGGGTGATTCGACAAGCTTGGGACCGAAGATAGTACCAGAGGTGAGCCAAAAAGTTGAGCACGTTTCTTCGGGACCTACTTGTCTTAGAGTTACCTCTATGGTATAACGTACACGGCGAATGAGAACGTCCCAAATTTGATCTCGAATTTGAGAAAAGTAAAGATTGGATTCACTCAGTCTATTGGTACTACTCCGAGACTGAACAAAATTTTCGTCAATTTCCTCTTTTTTCGGCAGATTTTTTAGGTTTTCCACAGGAAACCATGAGATAAATTTACTCATCGCCTTGTAAATTCATCAGTAGTGGAATCTTATGTAGTTTGATAAATTGAATGTCTTAAAAGTCAACCAAATGCATTTAATTACACAAATTTACCCTTGCTCTTGCTGATAATTGCATCAAATGATGATATCCGAGCATTTTAGAACATTTCAATTCCTCCCCCAGGAACGGTTTCCAGCCACGACCAACGAACGATCCAAGTTGCACCAATTTGGGGCTGGAATGTTTTGCATGTAATTATCGCTAGTTTCGGACCTAAACTACACTCATACTTATCCCCCATCAAGTAGCACCAGTCGGTAGGTATAACCCATCCGAGATATGCGGGGTTCGGTTGGTATGATAGCAACTAGGACAAGACCAACGTACAAGCCCGCAGTGCTAATTTTGGCTGGTAGCATCCTGCCCGGGTTGGTATGCGCTGGCCCCCCCACGGTGAAAAGTGGTTCGCCCTGTGGCTTTCTAGTTTTGCTACTGCTGCATCTGTTGTTAGTTACACACATGCATAAGGTTAGAAGAGACTACTAACTCGCTGATACTGTTGGATGGGTTCCAAATTGCCGTGTACACAACTAGCGATTCGCGGCGGGTTGAGTATGCTCTTGGAACACGCGTTTTCGGTTGGAAAAGTACCCTAGTGCTCTGGTGGTGGCGTGTAGCGCCTATTTGTTTTAATTTAACTTATCAAATTATGTGCTCTGTGCTGATTGTAATGGCTCGTAAAAGCCAGATAACATTGCATAATGAGGTTGATTTGGAATTTGTTCAAATGCAACCTTTCTGCAATTGCATAGCTACAAACCTTTTCCTTGGAGTAACCTCTCACGTCCGGTTCACTGTTAATGGTAATGGCATCAACTCGGATGAAGGTTTCCGTTCCGAGGTGGATAAACTGTTCGTTCACACCACCGGAAGTGATGTCCGGCACTTCGGTTGGGTTGAATATTTGAAGCTGAAAAGAAGCGCATATTTTCGTTTCATACAGTGCTTAAATCAACTCTTGCATTCCGGAGCTACCGTACAACTTACACTGAATCCAATATTGTTGAAGAGATTATAAAAATAATCTTTGACCGATCCGTTCACCAGCAGCATCAGTCCCATCTCCGGACCGGTCACATCCAGGTAGTACGATGATGGATGTATCCTTTCATCACACAAAGAAAAGCATACAATTTTCAGTTCCATAATCAACCGAAAGGAAAAACTTTTCTCTGATCAAAGCTCTTGCTGATGGGATTCGCATCCCAGCTCGGGATAAGGGAATACTCACTCGTTGTCCTCGTTGTGACCGATAAAGTTGAACGTACAGCAGAATCCGTATTGCGTTCGTCTAACCTCAATCATGTCGTTTTTCGTCATACATGGTATTTCGATGCTCTTCCAGAAGCACCGGAGCAGCATATCTTCGCAACGGGGCGAGAGCTGAAGAACAAAACTCCCATTATATGCATCATCTTTATCATCATCGTCGAACAAATCACTCGGAAAATTTCTCCAGTTCGAATATAACGCACCTTTATCAACGTATCAAAGACACTGTATATCCCGGAGGCATTGCTAATGTCGTTTAGGTCGAGAAACTCCTGAAACTGTGTCATCAGGTGCAGGTTCTCGTAGTCAAAATCGTACAGCTTACCCAGCTGTCTGACCCGGTCTAGGAAATAGCTCGCATTCCGCTTTTCCGGATCCTTTCGGGCGAGCTCTTCGGCGTAGCTCGTTGCAGCCGAGCGGGAAATGCGATTATTGTTGCACAGCGAAATGGCCGGAAAGGGGACGTTCTTGATCGGGTACAGCGTATCGTGCAGGGTCGTGATCAGTGGGTTGGAGGTGAAGCTGTCCCAAGCGCTGTTCAGAATGGCGACGAGGGCGCACGTCTCGACGATCAGGATCAGCAGCCACATTAGCCTGGATGGAAGGGAGGAATTTTGGGTGACTTTAGAGCTGTGAAACGATAGCCAGTTAGCATAACTCATGCGTTTTACGTTCAATTTAAATATTGCATATTTCGTGGTCGACTCACAGCTGCACTGGTGTTTGATATTTTAAACGTTTTTACCAGTGCTGATAAAAATCATTTCTCGTGTCATTTTTCCAATAGATCAAAATACATTGATCGATTCTCTTAATCGATTTTCTCTTTAAAATGCTACAGATAAACGAAACAAATTTCTGACAGGTTGTTTTGGCTATCAAAAGCAACAGTAAACGCACCAAGCAAGTTATTAATGAATGAAAAAATCGACGGAGATAATCGAACATTGCAGTTCGACCACAAACGAAGTGACAGACGACTAACTGGCGAAGAAATCAATTAAAATAATGTGGTTCACTGTAATAGAATTTTCTTGGAAGCTTGTGCCATCATCCACCAGATGGGTTAGTTTTTTTGTTTTGATTTGAACAAAGTTGATTTTGTGTACAATGATTATTTGACAGTGTGCAAAGAGTGTATCATTTTGTCATTTTTTTTTATGCATTTCAGTTTTGAGTAGAGTGAAAGAGATAGAACCAAAACATTCTAATACATTTGGTGCAAATGCTAATACAATCCAGTAGTAGTGGTGTTGCCATGTGGTACACTGAAAAATTGAAATAGCAGCTAAGTCACCAAAGTTTTCGAGCCGCTCAGTCTGTCACTTCGTTTGTGGTTCGACCCTTATGAATGTTCACTAGAGTGATGCAAAATTTGAAATTCCCGCTCCACAACACTTGAACGATTGCAAATCGGATCCTGACAAACCTCTAAAAATTTGAACCCATTTGGCGAGAAACTAAAATGGCACAAACCATTTGAAGTTTGTATGGGAATTACTATGGTAGAACCAAGATTTTTGTTCATGTCTATCTAATAATTCACCATATCTGTCTGCTTCAAAAGCTTTCAACTGTACTTGTAGGAAATTTTTGCAGCTACAACTTTGCTCAAGACCACTTTTTGATTAAATGCAATGATCGATAGTTATCAATGGTTCAATGCGCTGATGTCTAACGATTATGCTCAATCAACTGCTCAGCAGGCAACATTGGTGTTTCTGGGGCGTTGAATAGGACACAAAAACCATGGCTACTATGTCACACTGCAAAATACAGTGTTGCCTACAGAGCAGCTGCTTGATCATGTCATAAGTTTACCAATCTCTTAAATAATTAATAACTTTTTTCTGTCTCGTTTTACATAGAAACGATTTTCAGCAAAGTTGTAGCTGAGAAAATTTTCTATAAGAATGGTTGTTTCGCAGCTCAATATGAAAAAAAAACTAGAGGGCAATGAACAAAAAGTTGAGATTTCTCATAGTAATTTACATGTAAACTTCAAATGGCTTGTGAGAAGTCTGTTTCTAACCAAATGAGTTGTAACTTTGGGAGGCTAATCAGGACACGATTTGAAACCATTTAAGCACTGTGGAGCGAAAAAGTCGAATTTTGCATCAGTCTAATGTTCACTCTCGATTCTTTCTACTTTCAAAAATATTACAAAACAAAAATTTATATTTGTTGTTTAAGCGATGGTTAAACCACAGAAAAACAGACATAACACTCGCATGGTGTTCATCGCGCACGTATGTAGGTGACAGTATTCCAGAATAGGTCTTACGTATGTAATATATAATAATTTAATAGTGTATGGGTCTTGACAATTATAGCTGAACTAAAGTTTTTTTTTTTTTTTTATTATAGTCACTTTAACACTCTTGGGTCATTCGTGACTTGTCCGGGGGTGAAATTTGAACTCGTGACTTTGGCGTGAGAGGTATGGATGTTAACCACTACACCGGGGTCGCCCCCTGAACTAGAGGTGGGCAAAACAGCTCATCTGGCTGAATGGATCAAACCTATCCAGCTCACTAAAAGGAGTCGATTCTTTTGAACAGCTCTTCAGCTCACACTGAAATTATAGGAATTATGACACAAATTCAAAACCGGAAAATTAATTGGTTCTTAAAACTGCATAAAATCGTAAAAGTAGTCTAAACCAATAAATCCGTACCTTACAACATGGCTCTACTTTTGGAATGGAAAACGCCACTAACGCAATAATTGATCAAGCATCGCGCAAACATACATACAGATTTTATTTCTGATGTTAATTCTCAAGCAAAATTTATCTCACTATTCTCGACTTCAGCTCCAGATCATCAGCACTGAACCGGATCCGGAGCTGAATCGTGAATAATCGAGAGAGAAAAAAAAGTAAGAGGTTGTATCCAAGACAGGACCGTAGATTTGACATAGGAAAGGTAGTTAGGATGTCACAGCAAAAGTATAATAAATATTAAATTGATTTCTTAATTCGTTATTAGTGAAAAATTTCGATAGGTTGAAATTCGGAAGCTATTTGAGAGTTCTGTTTTTGAGGTGCTCTGTCTGTTATTTGAGATCTTTAGTAAACTCTTTTATCAATCATTTGTGGTCCTGAAAAGGACCGATGGGTTGGAAGCTTTTAAGCCGGTTTAGAACAATGCTGTGGATTTTTGACGTAGGACTACGTCTGGGATTTCTATATGGGGGTACACTTTGTGAAACCTGAAAATGGAACATGTAACAAAATCATGAAAGATTTTGAACGTTAATAACTCAGCTGCCCCTGAACCAATTACAATAATGCTATCGCCAATCGATCAGAAATATTTCTACACATCTGCTAAATTTAAGACTTAAGTATTTTTCAAAATGTCATTTTTGAAAATGGCACGAATGTGCAACTGTTGCTTTGATAATTAAAATTAAAATCGATTGCCTGCGAAAAGCGATTTCCCTAGCACAGATTTAGCGCAATCACCGCGTGGTGAGTGGTGATGTGCTCCAGCACACAACGAAAGGTTCCCCGCAAGCAGCTAGCTACCGCTGTTGGATTCAGTTCCAATCACCGTGTGTGGTCGTCGGCATCAGCTGCAGCAGCAGCAATGCTTCGGCACGTGGCGTTGAACATTGTTCTCCAGTACACAACGAAAGGCTTCCTGCAAGCAGTGAGCAGCAGCCCACATGAGCCGAGACATGAGCATCCATAGAAGGAGGAAGAAACCGCACCGCTATTTGATCGGAATAAGTAGCTTTTCGAGAGTCGCTATAGGCCATACGCCAATCGATAGGAATGTTTTCTACGAATCCTCTAAAATTAAGACCTTATAATTTTCCAAACTGTCACTATTGTAAATTGCACGGATGTGCAACAGTTACAATGATAGTTAAAACTATAATCGATTGCCTGCGAAACGCGATTTCCCTAACACAGATTTAAAAGTTGAATTCCATCCGGTCTCACCAAACGCTGTTTATTCAATCACCGCGTGGTGAGTGGTGGTGTTCTCCAGTTCACAACGAAAGGCTGCACATGAGAATCCATAGAAGGAGGCACCCCTCGAAACATAGGAAAATCCAATAACCCCTCATTTTATCTGTCAAATTTTCATAGCGAATCAAACCAAACATTGTGTAGTACTAGAATTTTGACTAGAATGGGATACGTTAATCGATTTGCTTGGGACCAATAGGCTAGTCAAGTAGTGAGCCAATTTAAAATCGTTAGTTTCGTATTGATTGTTGCTATTGCTACGTATACAAGATGTTATAGGTTCTGAAATCATTCTGGAGATCAGATTATTTTTATATTAAATCACCCTGGAATAATTCAATATATGTAGTATCGAAATATGTCCAAACAAATTTGCAGTGTCTATGTGGATCATTCCAAGCTATTTCTGTGCATGCAAAATGTTCTAGGATTTCCAAATCGATATTTCAATACTACAGATATTATCCTAGCCTTCGTTGATCTAGTAAAACAAATCATCTTAACTGCAGGACGATTTGGAGAACCTAGAGCATCTGGTATACGTGGAAATAATTAAACATTATCCATATAGACACTATGAATCTGTTTGGACATATTTCGATACTACAGACTTTATCGCAGTCATTGTTGATCTAGTAGAATAAATCATCTGAACTCCAGAACGATTTGGAGAACTTAAAACATCTGGTATACATGACAATAGTTCATGCATGATCCACATAGACACTGTGCATCTGTCTGGAAATATAAGGAATTTAGTCAAATGTCCTACCTTGTCTTGAAGACCCATCTCCAGCATCCCAACCAGTAAATGAAGCAATGTTGTGTCTAGCCGATCTGATCCTGTCTCGGTAACACCGATTTCTTTCAGCATCAGTTTTCGGCTGCTTCTTCGGAGGTTTGTCTGCTTGCTCTTCCTTTACGCGCTTACGTGATCGACGCTTGTATCAACAATCAATTCGAAACTAACGATTTGAAATTGGCTCACTACTTGACAAGTCTATTGGTCAAAAGCAAAACGATTAACGTACCCCATTATAGTTGAAATTCTAGTACTACACTATGTTTGTTTTGATTCGCTATGAAAGTTTGACAGATAAAATGAGAGGTTTATGGATTTTCCTATGTTTTGAGGGGTGCATCGATTAGCGATTAGCTTGATGAGATTTTTCGGGACCTTCTGGTCTTAGAGTTACCTCTATACTTGTATTGTGTAGCCAAATGCTGCGACATGGCTTTATCGATAAACTCGCAAACAATTTCTCAATTATGAATTACTTCGTACAATTGTAGAAATTTGAATAGATTGAATTGCCCATCAATTTTGGTATTCGGAAATTAAATCTGCATACCGGACGGTACTTACTTTTATGCTTTTTGATGCAAATTTTAAGCCCTTCCTATTAAAATATCGATTTTTCATGGGTTTACCTTCACCCGAACTGACAAAACTACCCATGCAACATCAATCATAGTAACCCCTGAGTCAGCAGACAAAATTTGACAGCTCTGTCAGTCGAACTCTGACCGTGATGGCAAAAAACAGTGAAGCAACTCCGTTCAGAAGTGTGTGGGTTCAAAGAACGGCACCCCGCCGCGTCGAAAACGGACATCGTGTGGCACTTTGTGGACGCCGGATACGCCCGTTCCGGCATCTACAACATCTTGGCACTATTAGACAACAATCAGAGTATCGAAAGAAAGCCCGGTTCCGGACGGCCGACGACCCTGAGCGACAAGAAGCTCCAAAGGATGTTGAAGAGGAAGACCGAGCGAAAAGTGGCTACATCGCTGCGTGCGCTTGGCCGGGAGGTCGGTGCAACCGGCCAAACAGTGAAAAAGTACCTGACGAACATGAACATACATGTCAGGAAGCGGAAGTCACGTCCACTGGTTTCGGAGCTGCAGGCAATGACGCAGCGGCAGCGGCTGAATAAGATGGTCAACTCGTTTTTCTCGGCGAATCGCGACGTGGAGGTGGTGATGGACGACGAGACCTATCTCACCCTGGATGGCAACGACTGGCAGGGCACTTCGTATTTTACTTCCCCACGAAGGAAGTGAGCTCCGAGGTGAAGTTCATTTCACACACCAAGTTCCCCAAGAAGGTGCTGCTGTGGCTGACAATCATCAAGAAGGGGATGTAAAAGCCGCTCTTCGTTCGCTCCGGACTGGCCGTGAACGGTGAAATTTATAGTACGAAATGCCTGCCGGAAGTTGCGTCGTTCATCAAGAAATACCATAAGGGCGAAGACGTGGTGTTCTGACCGGATCTGGCGTCAGCCCACTACTCGAAGCGATCGTTGGAGGAGATGGAGCGGCTGAATATCGATGTGGTACCCAAGTCGGTGAACCCGCCTAACGACCCCCAGCTGCATCCCATCGAGAATTTCTGGGCCAACCTGAAGCGTAAGATCTACTCCAACAATTTTGTCGCGAAAACTGAGGAGGAATTGATAAATAAAACGAAGAAAGAACTCAAAAAAATGCCTACACGCATGTTTTCGTCCGCCATGGTCAATGTTCCGGTTAACTGCCGGAAGACCGCTTGCTAGGTTGTAGAATTTTTTTGCAAGTAAGCTTAAATAATTACGTTCCATGGGAAACTTATCAAAAGAAATTATCTGTCTTAGCTTTTTTTATCACCATCCGAAAAAAGTCCATTTTTTTTAATGCAAACGTTAAGAGAATTCGTGAAGATTTGTTTGTGGCATAATTCTCTTTTTAGGAGGGGCTTAAAATTTGCATCAAAAGGCATAAAGATAGGTACCGTCTAGCATGCTATCACGGTATCATGGAAAATCCTCGTTTATGATGACGTAATTAGGCATTTTCGTGCACAAACCACACGGAATTTTTGGCTTTTTCCATAAAAAATATGCGAAAATTGATTGCAGGAATCTAGGATGGATGACGTTGACAAATGTTCAAATAATACTCTTTAACAAATTTATGGTGGTCCTGAGAAGGACCGGTTTATCATAGAGTCAACTCTGAGACCAGAAGGTCCCGAAGAAACGTGCTCAACTTTTTGGCTCAGCTCTGGTACTCTCTTCGGTCCCAAGCTAATCGATGCACCCCTCGAAACAGAGGAAAATCCATGAACCCCTCATTTCATCTGTCAAACTTTCATAGCGGATCAAAACAAACATAGCGTAGTACTAGAATTTTGACTAGAATGGGATACGTTAATCGATTTGCTTGGGACCAATAGGCTAGTCAAGTAGTGAGCCAATTTAAAATCTTTAGTTTCGTATTGATTGTTGGTTTTATCGTGATGGTAGAGTAATGCTGAGCTGAGTGTTCAACACGGATGAGGCTGTCAAGCTGTATGTTGTTTGGAGCGAGGGTGACACGCTTGGCATAGATAACCCGCAGCGACTCACGAAGAGCTACTGATTCCGTTTCCTAGCGGTGGGGCTTCTTCCTCCTATGGTTGCTTATGTGGGCTCTGCAGCTCGTTGCTTGCAGGCAACCTTTCGTTGCGTACTGGAGAACAATGTTCAACGACACGTCGAAAGCATTGCTGCTGCTGCTGGTACTGCTGTTAATATCGACGACTGGACACCACCACACAAGATGATTGAATGAGCACCGTTCAGTAAGACCGCATAGAATTCGATTTTTAAATCTGTGTTAGGGAAAGCGCTTTTTGCAGGCAATCGGTGATAATTTTGATCATTGCAACAGTTGGACATGTTGTGTAATAGTGACGTTTTGAAAATTAATGAAGTGTTCTTTTTGACAGATTGGTAGATAAATTTCCAATCGTTTGGTTTGCTTAGAATTCAAATCCATCTGCTATTGGTCGAAACCTGAAAATCCGTGGACTCTATAGATCCTCTGGATATCTATCTAGCCCTGACGTTTGTGTTGGGAGAGGAAAAAATGTAAACTTTGCGGGAGACGATGTTATAACACTCGGAAGTAATTTGGTGAAATATGAAGTTAAACAAATCCTAGCTAGTTCGGCATGATGAGTTTTGTTTGGTTGTATTATTTTGTAAAGTCGCCGGGAAGGTTTGGTGCGCATCCTTCGGTTGGAGGAAGCGGTGGAAAATCATTTTCCAGATCGATTCCGGGTAGTTGCTTCTTTTTCTGTTGTCTCGACTGGCTTGCTTTCTTCCACAGTGCGATGAATTCGGCCCGATTGGGAGTCGATGTGTGGGTATTCTCACAGTTGACACAGGTTGACTGTTTGTCCTTCATGTCCACGATGAATTGGGCAGTGACATGTTGTTGTCCGCATTTGGAGCAACGCGATTTCATATGGCAGTTGCGCGCGCCATGTCCACACCTCCTCCCTCGAAGCTGGTTCGATCCAGCCTAACGAGCCGAAAATCGGGAAGGAAGAAGTTAATATCAGGCTTCAGCTGCGTTTCGGTGATGATGGCCGATATCGATGTTTCGTTCGTTGAGGAACTTAACGAACTCGATGCTAGTGCTCCTTAGCTCCAATTGACGATGTTGTGTGTCTGCGTTCTCAATCGTTGACAACACTGTAAACAATTTATTCCTGATGTCATGTTGTCTTGCTTCAAAAAACGTTTGAAACAGTAGGCGAGAAAAATGAGTTCTTTTACTAAGAAGAGCGGGTGAAAAGAAAATTAAAAAGAATATTGTTTTGCATATTTTTTGGCATTCTTTGAAGCAAATCAAGACCAACAATTGAAATGGCCTTAACTCCATTTTGTAAACAAACCTTGTAAGGCCATTTTCTCGCGAACCGAAACCTTCATTCGCAAATCTAAACCACAATCGTGTAGAGGAAAATTTCCCCTACTTGTTCAACATGTTGGTTTGCCTTTGCGGACTTCGGTTCGCGAGAAAATGGCCTTACAAGGTTTGTCTACAAAATGGAGTTAAGGCCATTTCAATTGTTGGTCTTGAAATGCTGTATATCGAGAAATACGCAAATCACTTGTTGCTGATAAGTGTTTCTTATGCATCTCTTTCAAATTGGGACCAAATAGGAAGAGGCCAATTTCACGTTCCTTGGACACTTGGCGTGAACGGCCCATATTGTTGGTATATTATTCGGCTTGGCAATGCCGTGCCCTTCCCACACCACTTACCTTTCCCAAATGCTCCGGTCCACCTGCACCATATGCCGATAGCAGTGGGTTGTTATATTCTCCCACAGTTGGTACAGTTCGCTCTTGAAACTGTATCGCTGCTTTTTACGACCCTTCGTCTGTCCAACGGCCGATTCATTCGAAGATTCCGTCATCGCCGAGGTGGCCGTCGAAAAGCGTCCCCTCTTATTCCTCTGCCAACCGAAATCATTTTCCGACGGTTCAAGTACAGTCATTTTTTCTTCCAGTCCAACACTTGCAATCAGCATGCAACAATATCTCCCACTCGATAGGCGTCTTGAGGAAAACGCAACCTGATCTCCCTTTTTCACTTCTAGCAGCCGATTGTGTTGCTGTTGAAGAAAGAATGTTGCAAAAGCCAAATCCACTCGACACCAACGACGACGACGGCGATGACGACCGACGAATCCCACACCCTCACTGACTATGATGGTTCGATGGAAAATTGAAATCGAAGCTGCCACCCAAATCGAAGCCAAGGCAGCATGGAGGGGGAGGTCCGGAAGTGGAGGCGTGGAAAAGTGCAATACGACGTCGTCGTTCGTGTTTCTTTCCGGCGTACCGAGATCAAAGCGAGAATGATGATTGTTTTTCTTGTTCACTGCTGCCTTCCCATCCACCTACCTGTCCCATGGAAAAGGTATAGGGGAGAACAGCCTATAATGCACCCCTGGGGTGAAATACCCACTTGTAGAAGAACAGCGATAGCTTTTCCTCGGATGCTTTTCCCGAAAAACGGATTGTGATTGTTTCCATTTGGAGGTTTCACAAATAATTCCTAATCATGAAATCATACAGATTAAAAAAAAAATGAATTCGAACACAGTTGTAAAAGTCATCGACTACAAAATAAGCTTTGAATACTAAGAGGAAGGAAACTGGACTGCCGTCAAAAATGTTTCTCGGCAATGACGTAGCATTGACAACTGAGGACAAATGCAGCCTATTTGCTAGGCACTTCTTAAGCGTCTTCTCGAATGACTCCCCATCGCAAGCAGAAATTGAGCGAGCCGTCCGTGATGTGCCAACCGACGTCGTAAACATGGATGTTTTTGTCGTAGATGTACAAATGGTTCTCTCTGTGATGAGTAAAACCAAATCATCATTTTCGCCAGGTCCGAGTGTTATTCCATCTGCAGTCCTAAAAAAAATGCTCCGATATCTTAGCTGCTCCGTTGTCCTTGCTCTTCAACCTGCCACTTCGTCAACAGAAATTTCCCGCACTATGGAAACGGTCTACTATGTTCCCTGTTTTCAAGAAAGGAGACAAACGCAATGTGGAAAACTATCGTGGGATTACCTCGCTTGGGGTTGAATCTAAGGTGTTTGAGTCGCTGATAAATGAGAGATTGTTTGCTTCCTGCAAGCATTACATAAGTACATGTCAACATGGTTTCTTTCCTGGCCGCTCCGTGGAAACTAATCTCGTCAGCTTTACGTCGTTCTGTATGGAAAATGTATGCAAGAAACTTCAAGTGGATGCCATCTACACTGATCTTAAAGCTGCGTTTGATAGAGTTGTGCACGACGTTCTGCTAGCAAAGCTTGAAAAAATTGGATGTTCTGTTTCCTTCTGCAGCTGGCTTAGATCATACCTCGTGCAACGTGAAGTTACTGTATGCATTGGAAACTACTCATCGTACTGTTTCTCGAACAGATCAGGAGTTCCACAGGGTAGCACTTTGGGACCAATGCTCTTCTCTTTATTTGTGAACGATGTAACGTTTATCCTACTACGAGGAGGTAAATTGTTTTTTGCCGATGACTTGAAGATTTATCTAGTCGTTCGAGGCTATGCCGACTGTTTAGAACTACAAAACCTTCTTGAAATCTTTAATGATTGGTGTGAACGTAATTTTATGGTCCTGTGCGTCTCAAAGTGCTGCGTAATTAGTTTCCGTCGAACTAGGACTGCCATTTTGTTTGATTATAACGTTGCTGGAACTGCAGTTCAACGTGTCGATCACGTTAAAGACCTCGGTGTCATGTTGGATGAAAAGCTCACATACACTCGCCACTTCTCAACCACGATCGACAAAGCTAATCGACAGCTTGGATTCATGTTCAAGATATCTAAGGAATTTCGTGATCCTCTGTGTTTTAAAGCCCTTTACTGTTCATTGGTACGCTCACTACTGGAATTCGCGAGTGTAGTCTGGAATCCCTACCAAGCTGTATGGAGTGGACGATTCGAAGCTGTTCAACGCAAATTCGTCAGATACGCACTGCGCTATCTTCCATGGAGTGAGCCGCTGAATTTACCACCGTATGCTGACCGCTGTCGTTTACTGGGTTTGGATACTCTTGCTAAGCGACGAAACATATCGCAGGTCATCTTCGTTGCTAAAATTTTACTCGCAGAATATGATGTTCCTGAGTTACTGGCCAAAATTAATCTGTATGCTCCTGCCCGAACACTCCGTCCGAGAACCTTGCTACATGAAGTAGTACATGCAACCAACTATGCTGCAAACAGTTCCTTTGTCGCCATGATTCATCAATTCAACGAAGCCTCTGACCTATTTGACTTTGACATCAATGCCTCGATGTTTCGTCATCGTTTGCTGCTGACCAATTTTTAATTTTTAATGAGTGACTACATTTAGATTTAAGTGTTTCATTGAGACTATCAAGTCAGATGGACTATAATAATAATAATAACACCATAGATCGCCAAAAACTTTAACGAATTCACTTTTCGCATATTTTTTAGATGTTGTCGTCTTCGGTGGTGATCCATCACCGATCTGGTCATTCCCGACAATCACGACACTCATCTGTGCTTGTTTTAAAGCAGTTGCTACTTTGCTTGCTTATGTGAGTGTGTTGGTGAGTGAGCTCAACAGCTTCCGTTTAATTTTGCCAGCTTTGTTTGTAACGCACACAGTCGCGCGTGCCGAGACGATCTTGGTATGCGTAGGCATTGTCTTCGTTTTCTTCTGTCGTATCGTTTTTTCTCATCATCGTCCTGCAAAAGTCTGCACTGTTTTCGTTGCGCTTTACATCATCAGCAGCGAGTGTCACGTCTTGCCTGTGAGCAGTATCATTGGTGGTGATTGTTCTTTGCCATGGCTCTACCTCTAAAGCTGGGTTTAGATTAGGCAAGTCAAATGATCAACTCAGTTGAATTCAATTGGCTTGAAAAGTTGAGCGTGGTTCAACTTTTTCCAATTCAAGTGACTTGATCAAGTCAGTTGAATGGCATGGTTTACACGTTCAATTCGCGTTCAAGTCAGTTGAATTCAGCTAACTTGATCAATTGACTTGCCTTGTCTAAACCCAGCTTAACTGCGTGACAAAACGTTCTGTCAGCGATAGTCGGTTGATGCGTTGACGAGTGTCGAGTGAGTGTCATGATATTTTGCATCACTGATCAGGCGTTTTACCCCGCTATCATTTTGGAGTCGATTTAAAAAATGCATTGAAAATCATAAAAATCATCATTTTGGAACTCGAAATCACTTGATCTTCGTAGAAAACATTGTAATGAACCTAAATTACTATCTCCTTGATTTTAGCTTCCAAGCACAGTGTTCGGAAAATCATTCTCAAATCTCATTCATTGAGCCTCCCTGCGAGAATGAACTCGCGTGCGAATGCGGCAAACAAAATTCACGCTTGAGATTCTCATGCATATTCACGCACTCACACTCAATTGATATCTTGGCTATGCATGTCGTGTTAGTTTTCCAGTCCCTGATACACAAACAATAGTAATAACAATGAATAACGCCAAAATATAAAGCAATGAATTTTTGAACCTGAAAACTGATCGGTGATTTTTGCGACATTGAATTTTACAAGGCAAAACTCAAAGGCGCATAAACTCATGCATGAGATTTGAGTTTTTGAGTTTTTCCGAACACTACTCCAAGCAATTGACGGTTTTGCTTAAACGGTGCTTTTTGCACCGTCCTACCCTACGAGGGAACCGCACTCGTATCGAGCAGGGTTTGGTATGTGAAAAATTGAAATCCAATACGGAAGGTCCTGCTGACTACACAAAAACGGGGGGGGGGGGGGATGCAGAAAGGGCGATACTGATGAAGTCGTCCTTTATGATGGTGGTGTTTTTCCACTTGAACTGTTGATGTTGATGTATAGGGAATAATGTATCCGTTTGCCCTTTACCTCTTTTCGTAAGTTTTCTTGTTTTTGTTGTTGTTGTTGTAGGGGGAAACAGACCAAAATGCATACATGGGCCAAAATAGTCCGAGACGGGTTTTCAACGGTGAAAATTTGCCAGTGTTGGGACAATTCATGAAAAAATGCTGGCTCGAGTAATGAACTATCACTGTTGCTCGAATTCATGGATTATGTTGGGGGAGAGCGATGAATTCCCGCGATTGGCAATTTTCCCCTAGAGGTACATAATGGACCATCTTCCCCTACACACAGATCATCGAGAATATTGATTGATGTCAGGGAGAGATTTTCTATGTAGACATTATCGAAAGCCAAGTAGAGCTTAATGCACGAACTTTATTGTCATTAATAGTTGACCCATGTTGTACCTGATTGTTGGATTGTACTGTACGGTGAAACAGGGTTGCTTCTACTCACTTGCTATGAAAATTTATTTTCAGAATTATAAAATCATGAGACGCTATAATGATAATTAGAACATGTAAGCTGCAAGAAGAGGCTGTAAAGTATGTGTTTCACACATCAAACCGGCCAATATTGCTTTCAGAGCGTCACAATCAACGATTTTTCAATTCGTGAGCGCTCACACTAATTAATTCATAATTCGGAAAACCAGCGAGTAGAAGTGGAAGCGAGTGGAAACAACCCTGCTGTGAAAAGCACATAAAGGTACGAACCATTCATACAGTCATACAGTTATAGCTCCATAGCCAAAGTTGATGTTCATGGCTTCTGTGGTGGTTCCTTCATATGGTTTACTATGTGCGTGTTCTATAACTCGATGATTATACAACCCTTGGTCCTTCTGTTGTAGAGAGTTGACTTGCAGTTGCTTAGTACTGGTTCCAAATACGAGTTCCTACGATGACAGTCTTTCCATTCTTCTGAATCCGATAGTCACTTCACATCTTTGGTCAGCTATCCTGCTACAAGTGCTACAACTAGAAATCTTTGTATGGATTGGTCCAGGATGGGAATTTAGCAGGAAAGTGGTCCTAGCACTTTTGTTTTAATATTTAAAACTTTGTTGTCTTCGGTGAAGATTTTGTTTTTATAACACAAACTTTCTTATTTTTAAAAATAAAGATAGATGTTCTTCAGTAAAGTTGTATTTGTTAATTTTAAGCTACTTTGTTGAAGAGACATTTTTCTAACTCTAAACGTCTTTATCGTCAACAGTCACTCGTCAGCTGGCAGAATAAATGGAGCGAAGGAAGTTTGGGACGATGGCTATATTCGATCATCCCTAAGGTGTCGAAGAGTCCTTGGTTCAAGGGGTTGGATGTGGGTCGAGACTTCATTCGTATGATGTCTCGCCTCATGTCCAATCACTACTCGTTAACGCTCACTTGTTCCGTGTTGGGCTGGGGGACTGCAATCTCTGTGAATGTGGACAAGGTTACCAGGACGCAGATCACATTATTTGGTCATGTGCTGAGCATCGCGGAGTCAGATCTGAACTGTACGGTTCCCTTCGGGCTCGAGGTAGACAACCTAATGTTCCAGTTCGAGATATTTTGGGTAGACGCGATCTGGAGTTTATGAAACTTATATATGTTTTCTTTAAGAATATTAACCTTAGATTGTAAGTTTGACTAACCTTGTGTTTAGGTTTTGTTTGTTCGTGTGGGTTTTTTTTATGTTTGTTTCTGTAATAATTGTATAATTACACTGTGGATACCAAATTGAATAGGAATAAGTTCATGTTTTAGGAATAATGAAATATTTGTATCGTAAATCATAACTCAAACCTCCTCCTCCCTCTCCCTATCCATAAAACTGTGAATCTCTACTAACCTCGAGATGACCGCGAGTAATCGGTTCAGTTCCTTTAAATCTAGATTTAAGACATCAATTATGTGTAACGCAAATGATAACTTAGCTCTGTAAAGTTTATTCGATTGAGCCTGTACAAATAAACTAATTAATAATAATAAAAAAAATTAAACGTTGTCATTCCAGAATAATTTTTCATAGTTGAATTATGTTGTATCTGAATGTAGTTTTTTTAGCTCCCGTAAAAGTCACTTTCTAGTAACCATGAGAATTTTTTAAAAATTCAAATTTTTGCTAAAAAAAAAGTAAATATTGATATCTTGATATCTAGATCACTTGATATTCACGATTTTCTTCATAAAATACGATCCTTTTAAATGTTTATTACTCAACGTGAGGCAAACACACAATGATTTTCAACCTAGCATTAGATAGTTCACAATTTGAAGTCAATTGTAAAAAATACACGTATATTTTTTGGTAAAAGTAGATGAAATTTAATTGAATTTATTGATTTTTGACGTAGTACTACGTGTTCCGACGAGTGGATCCATCTAACGACCCCTCGTACAATTTGGATGTTGTGGAAGATGAATTGGGAGACAATGGATCGTTTTGGTGAAACGTCAGAGAGATAAGAAATAATGATTTGTCATTGTATAGTGTTTTGAAGCAGAAGTAAAAAGTGAATTAAAATTTATATTTTCTCTTAATTAGTTAGTTACAATTAAGTTTAATTACAGGTATTTGCTTAACATAATGATGAATTTGAATTTTGCTATTGAAGTTGTGAATTAATACTAAGTACGAGACAGATTGTAAGTAGATATGATGAAACCAAAATAACCTAAAACTAACTAAATAATAAACATTGCAGCTTTGAGCTATCGCACTACAAAAAAAGGACGATTTGCTTCGAAGAGCTCGGAAAAGAAAGTTATCGCAACATTCTCAAAGAATCTGTCTCGTACTTAGTATTAATTCACAACTTCAATAGCAAAATTCAAATTCATCATTATGTTAAGCAAATACCTGTAATTAAACTTAATTGTTACTAACTAATTAAGAGAAAATATAAATTTTAATTCACTTTTTACTTCTGCTTCAAAACACTATACAATGACAAATCATTATTTCTTATCTCTCTGACGTTTCACCAAAACGATCCATTGTCTCCCAATTCATCTTCCACAACATCCAAATTGTACGAGGGGTCGTTAGATGGAACTAGTCAACAAGTTGAAGCTCTTGGAACAACGGCATACGGAAGAACGGGACCAATTGCTCAAGGTTGAAGACGCTTTGCAGAAGCAGCTTGAAATGAGTCATGAGCAGTATCAGACTCTGGTGGCAGTAAGGCAGCAGGAGCTAGCGGACCGAGACGAAGACCGACGAAGATTTCGATCGTTGGAGCAACAAATGGCCGAGCAGCGAGAATTACTTCGCCAACGAGAGCAGAGTCATCCATTTCAAGCAACCGGGTCGCAACAGGTGGCACCATCGGCTCAGCCAATGCAACGCGTGAGTACGGACCGTACCCCTGATTTGGAGCGTAGTTGAATAAATAACTCCTCCAACATTGCGACACCTTGTCCCAGTGTCGCTAATTCGTTAGACAGATTAGGAACGCCTCGTACATTTATTGTACCCCCAGAATTAGGGCCTTCTTATGTAGGGCCACAAGGTCAACCACAGCTCAATCCGTTAGGGCTTTCTTATGTAGGGCCACAAGTTCAACCACAGCTCAATCCGTTAGGGCCGCCTTATGTAGGACCACAGGGTCATCCATAGTTCAATCCGTATCACCCTCCGGAGTTGAATCCTTGTCAACATAATCAGTTTCCACCGGTACAATATGGTCCAACACATCACCAGCTAGCTGCCAGGCATGTCATCCCAAAAGAGCTTCCAATTTTCTCTGGGGATCCAATCGACTGGCCACTCTTCATAAGTAGCTGAAACTTGTGGCTACTTGGACTCGGAAAATCTTCTGCGCTTGCAACGTTCCCTAAAAGGGGTTGCAAAAGAGTCGGTCAGTAGTTTCCTTCTTCATCCGTCGACCGTGCCACAAATTCTAACCACTCTGCAGACCTTGTTTGGGAGGCCTGAACAGATCGTGCATAACATGGTTGCCAAAGTGCGTGCGACGCCAGCGCCAAAGGCGGAAAGACTGGAAACGCTAGTCCAGTTTGGGTTAGTTGTCCAAAATTTATGTGGGCATCTGAGGGCTGTCGGAATGGAGAACCATCTTTCCAACCCTATTCTTCTCCAGGAGCTCGTCGATAAGCTTCCAGCAACCATCAAATTCAGCTGGGCGCTCTTCCAAGAGAATCTACCGGTTGTCGATTTGAGCGCTTTTGGGGAGTACATGGAAAAGGTGACATCTGCTACCAGTGGTGTTACAAACCTGTGTTTCTCAGCGAGAATCCCGAAGGAGGAGAAGCCGAGAGTGAAGGAAAGGGCATTCGTAAATACGCACGCTGCGTGTGACCGGAGGAGTACGGTATCGTCCAGTAATCAACAAAAGAGTGACCGTCGAGAGATGCCAACGGATGGTAAAAGCAAGGAAAGTGAAGGTGAAAAACGCTGCCCGATGTGCAAGGCGATGGATCACGTTGTAGCGAATTGTTCATCATTCAAGAAGCTATCGTTGGATGAACGTTGGAAAGTGGTGAAAGTGAACAAGCTGTGTCGTAGATGTCTCATTTCGCATACTCGCTGGCCATGTGAAGGTGAGTTTTGCGGCGTCAACGGTTGCGAAAAGCGCCATCATCAGCTACTACATTACGAGCCCGCTGCAGGACAATCCACGGTTACCACCAACGCTACTGTCACCATCCATCGTCAGCCCGTTTCGTCGACGTTGTTCAAGATACTTCCGGTGACGTTATACGGGGAGAATGGATCCATTGATACCTACGCGTTTCTGGACGATGGATCATCGGTTACCCTAGTAGAAAAATCAATAGCGGAAGAACTCGGAGCTGATGGAAAAATGCAATCCTTGTGCATTCAGTGGACAAGCGGGATCAACAAAAAGATTCCCACTAAACAACTGGGAAAGCTGGGAATATCAGAACCCGGCGGTAAGAAGCGATTTGATGTATCGGAGGTGTACACCGTCGAGAACTTAGGGCTACCGGAGCAATCGTTGGACTTTGAAAGCATGGCGAAGCAGTACAAGCATTTCCGAAACCTATCAGTCAAGAGTTTCCAAAGGGCCGTTCCTGGTGTGCTGATTGGGTTAAACAACACTCATCTAATGAATACGTTGAAACTGCGGGAAGGAGAAGAGCAAGAGCCAGTCGCTGCGAAAACTCGTATCGGATGGGTAGTCTGCGGCGGTCTACGAGGGGGAGCTCATCAATTTCAACACCGGCAGATGCACATATGCGTGGAGCCAGCGGAACTCGATCTGCATGACTACGTACGGGAATTCTTCTCTGTGGAAAGTCTAGGGGTCTCTGTGGCGCCGAATTTGGAAGGAAGTGAAGATCAGCGAGCTCGTCGAATCCTCGAAAAAACGACCGTGAGAACATCGAATGGGAAGTACAAGACTGGACTACTGTGGAAACAAGACATCATCGAATTCCCGAATAGCAGACCGATGGCCGAGCGTCGTCTGAAATGTCTCGAAAAGCGTCTTGAAAAGGATCCGCAACTCTACGAAAACGTATGGCACCAAATAGCGGATTATCAGGCGAAAGGCTACATCCACGCGGTAACGGAAGAAGAAATGCCAGAGTTCGATCCACACCGCACTTGGTACCTTCCTCTCGGAGTGGTTTTGAACCCTAACAAACCGGGAAAGGTAACAGTGATATGGGACGCAGCGGCAAAGGTAAACGGAGTTTCGCTGAACACGATGTTGCTGAAAGGTCCTGATTTTTTGACACCACAGCTGTATGTTACGTTCAAGTTCCGTGAACGGGAGGTGGCATTCTCTGGTGACATCCAAGAAATGTTCCTGCAGCTCGGGATTCGGAGAGAGGATCGGAGTGCGCTGCTCTTCGTGTTTCGCAACTCACCGTCTCAGTCTATGATTACGATGGTATCGGACGTTGCGATCTTCGGAACGACTTGTTCTCCAGCCCAATCGCAGTATGTCAAGAACCTAAATGCAGCGGAGAACGAGAAGGAACATCCAAGAGCGGCGGCAGCAATCAAGAACAGACACTACGTTGACGATTACTTGGACAGCGTAAACACGGAGGAAGAAGCAATCGAGCTAGCTCTGGATGTGGCGGAAGTCCACCGGAAGGCAGGTTTCCACATTCGTAACTGGGTGTCAAATAGGCCCAAGGTGCTAGAGGCTATAGGAGAGGTTAACCCAGCTACAGTCAAGAATCTCGCGATGAATAATCAGAGTGGATTTGAGCGGCTACTCGGGATATCTTGGCTGCCGGGCGAAGATGTGTTCTGCTTTTCACTTAGCCTACAAGGAGATCTTCAAGGACTGGTGGAAGGCACGATCGCACCAACCAAGCGAATGATGCTAAGCTTCGTTATGAAAATCTACGATCCGTTGGGACTGGTAGGATCGCTGATTGTCCAGGGGAAGATCCTCATCCAAGAAGTCTGGAGAGCCAAAGTGGATTGGGACCAGCAGATACCGGAGGATATTTTCAAGTCATGGAAACTCTGGTTACAGGCGCTGAAAGAATTGGACAACGTGAGAATTCCTCGTTGCTACTTTTCGGGGTACGATGCCAACTGTTATGATTCTCTAGAGCTGCACATATTCGTTGATGGCAGTGCACAAGCATACTCCGCCGTCGCTTACTTCCGAGTTCAGGACCAGGGATGGATACGGTGTGCTCTAGTTGCTTCAAAAACTAAAGTTGCTCCTCTGCAATTACTATCAATCCCACGCATCGAATTACAGGCAGCAGTTCTCGGGGTGCGTCTTCGAAAAACTATTGAAGAAGGTCATTCCATCCAAGTGAAGCGCACATACTTTTGGAGTGACTCCAGTACGGTTATCTCGTGGATCAGATCGGACACTCGTCGGTATCGGCCGTATGTTGCCTTCCGAGTCAACGAAATTCTCAATCATTCGAGGGTCGAGGAATGGCGATGGCTGGAAACAAGGATCAATGTCGCCGATGAAGCTACGAAGTGGGGAAAAGGGCCGAACTGTAAGTCAGACAGTCGGTGGATGTGTGGACCTGCGTTTCTCTACGATAAGAAGAGTGAGTGGTCGAGCAGCGAATACGAAGTACCGGAAGTAACAACTGATGAATTACGATCAGCATACATCTGCAGTCACTTCCTAACAGTTCCGATCATTGAGGTGGAACGATTTTCCAAATACGAGCGGCTGTTGCGGAGCGTAGCATACGTTTACCGCTTCCAAGAGAACAGTTCGCGACGAGCCAGAAGTACACAGCACGGAGCGGCGGAAGAGTTAAGCAGTGAAGAATTGCAGAAAGCAGAGCGGATCCCGTGGAGACTTGCGCAATCGGAATGCTTTCCAGACGAGGTAGCTACTCTGAAAGGGAACGTACAATTGAAGCAAGAACAGCAGAAGGCGTTGGATAGAAGCAGTTGTATAGCAAAGCTATCTCCTCCGATTTTGTAGCGTACGATACCAGATACCCTATCATTCTGCCGCGAGGACATCGGATTACAAACCTATTGCTAGATTGGTTTCACCGCAAATTTCGCCACGCTAACAATGAGACGATTGTAAATGAGGTACGTCAGCGTTTCAACATTGCAAAGCTGAGAACACAAGTACGGTCTGCAGCACTCCGATGTCAGTGGTGTCGCGTGTATAAAGCGAAACTAGCAACACCAAAGATGGGTCAACTACCTCGGGTTCGGATTACACCATTTCTACGACCGTTCACATTTGTAGGGATAGATTATTTTGGACCCTACTTCGTGAAGGTAGGGCGAAGCTCCGTCAAGCGCTGGGTGGCGATTTTCACGTGTCTAACCGTTCGAGCAATACACCTGGAGCTGGTCTTCAGCCTAACAACTGATGCGTGTAAGAAGGCCATTCGACGATTCATCAGAGATAAGAAATAATGATTTGTCATTGTATAGTGTTTTGAAGCAGAAGTGAAAAGTGAATTAAAATTTATATTTTCTCTTAATTAGTTAGTAACAATTAAGTTTAATTACAGGTATTTGCTTAACATAATGATGAATTTGAATTTTGCTATTGAAGTTGTGAATTAATACTAAGTACGAGACAGATTGTAAGTAGATATGATGAAACCAAAATAACCTAAAACTAACTAAATAATAAACATTGCAGCTTTGAGCTATCGCACTACAAAAAAAGGACGATTTGCTTCGAAGAGCTCGGAAAAGAAAGTTATCGCAACACTACGTCTTTGTGGACTAAACAGGGATGCAAATAAAATAAAAAAATGTAACGAAACAGTGTCAGGTTTTAAACGCATATAACATGGCCATTTATTGATGGATTTCAATTCTTTGCACATCATTTGATGCAGATTTGATGTAAGATTTGTTTGGTATAAAGATTATAAGTAATGTATTATTAGTGAGCTATTGAAAATTGATCAATCTTTTAGGACGCAATCAACCAATCACGTGCTTGCTTGCTATGATTATCGATAGAACAGAGAGAGAGAGAGAGACGAACCGAATGCATGGTTATAAAACAACTTACCTGACTTGATTAAGATCGTATTAGAAGAACGGAGAGTATTCATCCTGGAAAGGTTCCGAGACACCTGTCTGAGGGTCAAATCATTAGATCATACGTGATCTAGCATGTTAGGTTAGAGTTGGTTGGAAATGCTAACATGAAGCTTTAGTGTGATAATTTATTAGCTAGATAATGATCTTTAGAAGAGGGTAGGTGGATAGTTTCGTTAGAGTACGGCAGTGTGAAAATTGAATAGAAGTTGAAAATGAGCGAAGGGCCATTAATCCGACATTATAAAGTCAAACGCACATCTTTTGCCTAACCCGTACGATGTACGCGGAGACTTGCAGTATGTGTTCAGTCTACAGACATGAAGGTGCTCCCCCTTCACCCACGATCGAGAACGTAGACACTCTGCATACAACGGCGAAACTTGTTACACTCGTGACAGAAGTCATCATGATCCAGTGTACCTGCACGACCCGAACAGAACAGTTTCATGCTCAAGAGCATCGAGCTCGTTGAACGAAACATCGATATCGCCATCATCACAGAAAAGCTCCTGAACGCACCGATATTAACGTCTTCCTTCCCGATTTTCGGCTTGTGAGGCTGGATCGAACCAGCTCCGGGGAAGGAGGAGTGGCCATCGCTCTAAGGAAGAACATCTACTGTCGGCTGTTGCCGAGCTTCCAGCTGAAGATCATCGAAGCCGTAGGGGTGGAGGTTTCTACTCCTGTCGGTCCCATGACACATCAAGTCAACATCAGGGATGGGTCGGCAGCAGACCTGCGGCGAGATATTGTCAAGCTAACACGACGGCGGGAAAACTTCATCTTGGTTGGCGACCTGAACGCCAAACATCAAACTTAGGGCAACAGTCGGTGCAAACAAAACGGCACCATCCTGTAAAATGACCTGCAAGAAGCGCAGTACAACATCTTTAGTCTGGACACTCCCACCCGGTTGAGTAGGTCCGGTGCTCACGCCACCACCGACAACTACTTCAGCAGCTTGGCCAACAACATCTCCCAACCTGTGGTTTACCAAGAACTCAGGACCGGACCACTATCCGGTGGTGGCCGAAGCTGGTTCCTCGGTGACCCGATTGGAAGCTTTTCGGCGCAACTACCATCGTGTGAAATGGGCTCAACATCGACACTGCGTCAACACATACATCGAGTACGATGTCCAACCGGAGACGTCCGAAGATGTTGATCGGTGTATTCATACCATACAGACAAGGGAGTAACACTCTGAACCTTGATAGCCCTACTAAAGACCTCATTAGACTCCGTAGCACCATTCGTATGCAGTACTAGCGTTCTGGTCTGCTTAACTTGAATCCCAATTGCAATCGATTAACAAAGATCATTCAGTCCAGGATGGTGGATCTCAGAAATAGCGATTTTGCTAATAAGATCAGTTCTCGCCCAGATTGTGCAAAGCCTTTCTGGAAGCTAATCAGAATCTTAAAAAATAAGCCCAGGTCCATTCCACCATTGGTTCCACTGAATCGTCCCAACGAATCAGTGGTTCATCTAACAACTCCTGTTGATAAGGCTGCTGTGATTGGCCTGTGATTGTGAGGCTGCTGTTGCTGAAATGCAGGCAACCTCCATTTGATTCCCAACAACTTCCCCAAGGTTTCAGCAATTTCAGCTGACCAACTGTTGGCCTATATCAAATCTTCCAAAGACATGAAAGCCCCAAGTTTCAATAACTTCTTGAATCTAGAGCTCAAACATATGAGTTCTAGATTCAATGATTACTTGGCACTGGTTTTCAATCAGTGCCTTAGGCTTGGCTACTTCCCCTGTACTGGAAGTTAGGGTTAATGCATATATTATGTCCCGGTCAAGGGGGGTGTCTAAGATTTTGAGACTAGCAATGCATTAGGTATAGGAAAAACGTCAATGATAGGGGGGGGGGGGGGTTAAATTTCTCCTCGATTTAGCGTGTCATAATTAATACATGGGTCCATTAGTGAAAGTCATACCCATCCGGAAGCCTGGGAAGGATCCTTCCTCTTCTTCCAGCTACAGACCTATCAGCCTTCTTTCAGGGTTATCAAAGCTTCTTGAAAAAGCGATTGACCAGCGTTTTCTAACGTCTGCCGACTAAAACAACATCTTACTCAAGGAGCAGTTTGGTTTTCGACAAGGTCAGTCGACTACTCACCAACTGACTCGAGTAAGCAATACATATTCTCAAACGGAACAATTCTGTATCTAAAACATCTGCCATGGCTTTGTTGGACTTAAAAAAAGCGTTCGACAATGTCTGGCATGATGGGCTCGTATACAAACTACAACGGTACGGTCTTCCAATCTTCCTTGTGAAAATCATCCAAAATTACTCTTCAGACAGGACATTCCAAGTTTTTCTCAATGGCATCACTTCGGATGTCTTCAAGCCTTGAGCCCATCCTTTTCAATTTGTTCATCTCCGACATTCCGGCTCTCGCTGATGGTGAAATGTTGTCTATAGACACCTAATCCTACCTATTATTGAGTGTGGTATACCAATCTGGGAGACTTATTCCAAATGCCATCACCTTAAACTGCAAAGGATCTAGAACAAGATCCGTAGGATGATCGTAAACAGTCCCACGTGGGTTCGAAAGTCTACCTCCTGGCTGGAATTGAGACATTAGAAGAACGGCGAGTATTCATCCTGGAAAGGTTCAGATACATACATCTGTCTGAGATCAGATCAACAGATCATACGTAATCTAGCACGTTAGGTTAAGTTGTATTCGTAGTTAGATAGGTTATCAAATTTAATTTTTAGATTCAATTCAAATATGCCCCAAAGGGGGAATTCACAAAGATAGGCTACATTGAAATGCTAAATCAATTTGCAATCATAATCATCATAAATAAACGCAAATTTGCTTCTACAACATTGCGGTGTACATTGCGTTGTACACTAAAACCGAAACTAACTCAGAGAGTGAGTAACTTTTACACAGTTGTGAGTCACTTTTACTCATTCGTATGGAAACATTTCTAAAAGTGTAGGTCACTCAGCGCATGAGTAACCTACGCTTTTGGAAATTTCTCCATTCGAATGAGTAAAAGTGACTCACTCTCTGAGTTAGATAAGTTTTCAGCGTAGCTTGCTATCTTTGCTCGAAAAAAAGTAAGAGGTTGTATCCGACCGTAGATTTGACGTAGGTGTTCGGTAGAAATATTCGGTGACTATTTTAGGGAAACCACTTTTTCCCATCACGGAAACGGCTAGTTTTCTGATCACAAAATTACGCATTTTTGTGCACATTCGTGGAATTTTTGCTTTATTCAATAGATAATAAAAAAACCGAAAATTTTCCAATCCTGAGATATTCGCGATCAATCATATATAATATATATTGCTGGGTACATTATAAAAGAGCTTCAGGGGTAATGTGGCTGGCAGCAAGGCGAGCGAACGTTCAATGAAAATTAACTCTTAAACAACAATAATTTATGGTGGTCCTGAAACAAACCGTTTTGTCGTAATGATTGAGTAATGCTGAACTATTAGGATGTTCAACACGGATGAGGTTGGCGAGCTGTATGTTGATTGGAACGAGGGTTACGCGCTTGGCATAGATGGTCCACAAAGGCTCACGACGAGCAACTGAATCCGATCAGCAGCGGTGTGGCTTCTCCTCCTTCTTCGGTGAATCGAGAGCTCTTGAGGGCAGCCTTTCTAGCTTGCTGCTTGCGGGCAGCCTTTCGTTGTGTGCAGGAGAACAATGTTCAACACCACGCGTCGAAAGCACTGCTGCTAATGACGACTGACTGGACACCAATGATTCAATAAGCACCATTCGGTGAGACCGGATGGAATTCGATTTTGAAATCGGTGATAATTTTGATCACCATTGCAACGATTGGAAATTTGAGAAATTTTCAATAGTGACCTATTGAAAATTGATAAAAAGTTCATTTTAGCAGATTCGTAGACAAATTCTCAATCGATTGGTTTATTAAGAATTAAAATCTATCCGCTATTGACTGAGTGATAAATGGTCAAAACCACTTTTCGTAACGCGGTCGATTTTGGTTTTTTTTTTAAATTGCACCCTCCAATATGTTGCCAAAAGACGTACTCCAACGTCAATAAAGTGATTTAGAAGGCAAATGGCCTATTGTATGGTCAAGCTCAGTGTGCAATTTGCATCAAATTCCATGTTTTAACAAGACAGCCCGACCAGAAAGCAGGTTTCTGTAATCAGTGAAGTTATTCGGATGCACAAGAACAATCGCATGATTAGCCTCTCAGTTCAGAATTCGATCACCATGCAGCGCTAGTGTTATTTGATTCAAAAGGCATTAATTGAAAACTAATCTTATTCAGAGAGTGCGTCACTTTTACTCATTCGTGTGGAGAAACTTTTAAAAACCCTTTACGCACCACCCCTAGCAGATATTTTTTTCTGTTTTCGCTTGGTAAAATGTTCCAATCTCCATACATTATTTTGCCGGCTTACTTTTCACCTCTAGGAAAGTGGCGGCATGTTGTCAATAGTGGTGAAATCCAATCTGACAGCATGCAGGAACCCATTGCCAGAATAATGGCACTCAGAAACGATGCCGAAGACATTTTTTGACGTAGGACGACGTCTGGGATTTCTATATGGGGGTACACTTTGTGAAAACTGAAAATGGAACATGTAACAAAATTATGAAAGATTTTGAACGTTAATAACTCAGCTGCCCCTGGATCAATTTCAATAATTTTATCAACAATCGATCATAAATATTTCCACGCATCGAAAAAATTGCTTGCGACTGTTGTTTTTCAACAAGAACTATTGAAAAAGTGGTAAATGTCAAGCATTGTCCAATGTATAAATAAAAAGTTATCGTTGTTTTCATGAAATAAACGTTCCCAGTTGTCATAATCGAGCACCACTTGGTTGCACATCATTCTACTTTGACCTGAAAAGATATAAAAGAGCACTGCTATCTAGCCTCAACTCATTTTCCGCTTCGGACGGCGTGGTGAGCAGGCAGCAGAAGCAGCAATAGCAACAGTAGGAAGGTGGTGGCAGGTTAGGCAACAATGACTGGTCGTTGTCAAGCGTCATCGCAAGGTTCTTAGTGATAACATCCAGGGTATTACCAAAACCTGCCATCCGTCATCTGGCTCGCCGTGGCGGTGTCAAACGTATCTCCAGTCTGATCATCTGATGATCTCATCTAGTCACATAACCAACAAAGCAACTACCCCTGTGTGGAAGTAGAACCATCGCGACGATCAGCAAAAGGAACCAGCAAAACGGTAGCAACCGAGTTTCTAATCCTGAAGCAACCGGGCCGAGACTCTTCTAAGTGCCCATTTCTCGTAGCGAAGTTCAACCCGTGTTCAGCAGTAGCCGGGCCGAGACTCTTTCAAGTGCCCATTCGTCGTAGCCACTTAGTCAACCCGTGTCCAGCAGCAGTCACGCAGAAGCTCTTCCGAGTGCCCATTCATCGTAGCAAGGTTGAGGATTCCTTCAATGCGGCCTTCCAACCTGTCGCAGACACCAGTTCAACCCTTGTCCAGCAGCAGATGAGCCAAGACTCTTGCAAGTGCCCAATAATTGAACCGAAGAATATGGGATTGTCCGGTCCGATTTGCTGATCCAGCTGTCTAAACGTCATCATCATCTTCCAAAGGCTTTAAGTCTGTACTACCATCGGCTCTTTTCAGGTTGGCTACCAAGATTTTTCAAAAGAGTTAAATTTCTGAACTCATATCTAACTAAAATTCATATCAAAAGTTTATTTTCAGGGCAATCATAGTCATACTAAAGAGTATAAACAGAGAGAACCCCGCTAAAATTCCTATTCCTACACTAAACACAAGCTGCTGCTGCAGTTAACAAATAACATTTATTA